CATTGTTTTACTTCCTTCATTTGAGTTTGAATAAGTTATTTCTGAACCAGATGCAGAAAAAAAAGCAGCCTTGAAAATAAGGTATGCCATTCAAAAAGTAAATAAGGGTAGGTCATTCAATAAATGTTGGAATGAGTAATGAGGCATCTGAAAAATAATCTCCATAAGCCAAAATTAATTCTAGATGATAAAAATATAGAGAAAGAAACCATAAAAATGCTAGAAGCATGAGAAATATACATTAAAAAAAATTCTTGGAATAAGGCGTTGCTCAGAAATAGAAACACAGATGTAAAGAACAAGTTTGTGGATACCAAGAGGGTAAGAGATGGTGAAAGTGAAAGTTGCTCAGTCCAGTTTGACTTTTTGCCACCCCGTGGACTGTAGCCTGCCAGGCTCCTCTGTCCATGGGATTCTCCAGACAAGAATACTGGAGTGGGTAGCTGTTCCCTCCTCCAGGGGATCTTCCCAACCCAGGAATCGAACTGGGGTCTCCTGCATTGTAGGCGGATTCTTTACCAGCTGAGTTAGGGATGGTAATTGGATGAATTGCGAGATTGGGATTGACATATATACACTACTGTTTGTAAAACAGAGATATGTTTAATGAGAACCTACAGTATGATACAGGGACTACTCAATTCTCTGTTGTGACCTAAATGGGAAAAACAAATCTAAAATGAGAGGGAGTATGTGTGTATGTGTAACTGTTTATCTTGCTGTACAGCAGAAACATCAACACTGTAAAGCAACTCTGTTCCAATAAAAATTAATTTTTAAAGGCTTTGCTACAGATGGCATAAAAGTCAGTACCCATGTAAAAACAAAACAAGTTGATAAATTTGATTATATAGAGAAAAAAGACAAATGACAGTCTGCAATAATTTGGCAAATAAGACTAGTTTCTATAATGTGGAAAGTTCTCATACATGAAAACAAGAAAAGGAAGAAAACACTAGACAAATGTATAAAGGTTAAGTACTGGTAGCTCACAGAGGAAGAAATAAGTGCCTTTAAAGTAAATAATGCCATCCAACAGAGGATGAGATGGTTGGATGGCATCACCAACTCAATGGACGTGAGTTTGAGTAAACTCCAGGAGTTGGTGATGGACAGGAAAGCCTGGAGTGCTGCAGTCCATAGGGTCGCAAAGAGTCAGACACGACTGAGTGACTGAACAGACTGAACGGAACTGAATATAAATAAGAAGGTACCGAAACTCATTATTAAAGAAGTGAATATTAAAACAGTATCTTTCCTATTACAGCAATAAATATCAAAGAATTATATGAAGCAAAAATTAGTGAAGATGTTTGGAAACTCAAGTTCTTATATACTGTTGTTGGGGATGTAAATTGGTTAATTATTTTTGGAAACCTTTTGCAATCAAAATCTAAAATGTTTATTCTTTTGCCAAGCAGTTTCAATTCTGAGAATTCATTCCACAGATATAATCACACACATACAAAGAAGAACTACTGTGGTCATTAAAGTTTGCTTTGAAATAGTAAAGACTGAAACCCTAAGATTCATTAATAAGAAAATAGTCAAATTGTTATACAGCCACCAAAATGGAAACTTTGTCTCTATATAAACAATTAAGTATATCTATATACTATGGTCTCCAAGACAAGTGTGAAATGAAAAAAAATATCAAGGCATGAAATACTGTGACTCTCTGAATAAGGCCATCAACAGATACATCAAGGAAGCAGACAACTTTGCTACTGTTAGAATCAGAAGACTACTGCCAATCAATTGTTGAACTGAAGACCACACTTTTATAAGATCAAGATTCTACTACAACTGCCTCTTGACATACAAAAAGCTTGTGACTGGACACTAGAATGTTGCTTTCAGAAATAAAGCAAAATCTCCATTGCAGTAACACCAAAGCAGCAGAAAGATTGCTTCCATTTCAAAACCACTTGTCAAACTTTTTGAGGCCCTAACCCACCATGCACTATGTAAAAAAGGCCACCCTGCCATGAGGAAGCCCAAGCCTCCTAACAAAGTCACCACTGACAGTCCCAACTGAGTTCAACCTTTGAGTCATTCTAACCCAGGCATGTGGGTAAAGAAGCCTCCTAAAGATTCCAAGCCCTCAGTCATTCGAGTATTCCCAACTAATGCCCCAGACATCATGGAAATAATATCCCTACCTTGCCTTAGTTTAACTCCTTGCTCTCACCATCTGTAAGCATAATAAAATGATTGTGGTGCGTGCTAAGTCTCTTCAGTCATATCTGACTCTTTGCAACCATATGGACTGTAGTCTCCCAGGCTCCTATCCATGGGATTGTCCGGGCAAGAATACTGGAGTGGTTTTGCCATGCCCTCCTCCAGGTGATCTTCCTGACCCAGGGATGAAACCCACATCTCTTATGTCTCCTACATTGGCAGATGGGTTGAAGTGGTTTGCCATGCCCTTCTCAGGGCATCTTTTCCAACCAGGGATTGAACCTGCAGCTCCTGCATTGCAGGTGGATTTTTTTACCACTGAGCCCATTTTGGGGAAGCCCAAAATGACTTTTAGTTTACATTTTTTAACATTTTGAGTGGTCTGTATGCAAAAAGAGCTAACTGAAACACATGATATAGAAATAAGATTCAATAAGCATTTCAGAAATGTTTTTAAAGATTATAATACTCTATTATGTGATACATAGCACAATGTACCTAAAAGTTTATGCTGAATTGTAAAGGATAGCTGGCTTACAATTTTTGTCTCTTACTAAAACTACAGTGAATAATTTTATCAGTAGAAGTTTTTAGTATCATTTCTTTAATATAAATTTTCAGAATGACTATGTCTGGGCTATAACCAAATTTCTTCATAAGTGTTTTATTGTATTCATATCTGTCTTGAATATTTACTGTACTAAGAAGAAAATATTAAGCAAATTAACTTGCATATATTAAAAAAAAATTTAAGCAACAAAAAGAAATCCTTTAAGTTAATCAGCCCTATTGAAGACAGAAGAATATGGCCAAAGACTCTGAGCTGCCCAGATATGGTAATGTCAGCCAGACCTCATGAGTCAACCATAAGATGGAGAAAATTGGGCCATACAGGGGGTAGGGAAAATTTAAGACAGACCAGCATGTTGAGTAATCTAATTATTGTTACTACCCTATTATAAGCTCAAATGAAACAATGTTCACAAAAACAGCCACTAAAAGATGGTAATAGATAGGCAGGCACTTTCACTTAGCAAGTTCAGAGTCCTGGCTAGGTAAGCAAATTTTACTATTTTCAGAGCTCTGCCATGTATTCTTAAACCTAGGTAAGTGAGTGTGAAGAGGGCTGTACTCTGAATAAGCCCTAAAACAAGCCTTCACATCTGGGTATATCCTAACTGATATGCCCAGAGCAGCGTGGTTTATATTTGCAGTTTGTATCCCTAAAGTAATTGCCATTTTCTAACTTACTCTATGTCTTTGTTGGTACCGGCTGTTGCCCTCAGTGTTTTTTCTATTTATAAGACTAGATTCAATAGTGAAGGAGAGGCAGAACTCTTGACTTCTGCTTCCCCATAGCTAACTTATCATGTGATATTTATGCCGTTCTGTTGAGAAATCTGTGTTAATATGGAAGACAACTGGTCCCAAGAAACTAGGAACTCAATGGACATAACATAAGCTACTCCTAAACCCTACTAAATACATCATCAAAATTGCTAATCCTTACCAAATATATTAGCTGACCCAGTGGCCTAGTTTTTAAGCATACAGACACTAAGTGAGAAAAATCTGGATTAGAATCCTGACTCCATGAGTACTGCTTATGTAACATTAGACAATTTTCTGAACATTTTTTGACCTTCATTTTCCTCATCTGCAAAATCAGGATAGAGCACCTATCTTGCATAGTTGTTGTGAAGATTAAATCAGTGATGTGTGTAAAATGCCTGGCATTGAAGTATTCAATAAATGTTAACTCATTTAAAAAAAAAATAGTAAAACACATTTCACATTTAAATGGTGAAATCTAATTCTCATCTTTGTGCTAACTACAAGGGGATCCAGAGAATGTATATTTTAAGTTTTCAAATTCCTCAATATAGAAAAGCTGTAATGGAGTGGATACTGAGTGCCAGTTCCCATGTCCAATATGAACATTAAACATGATTCTTCTGGTTAACTCTGTCCTTTGAATAACCAAAGAAGCACATTTCAAAATGTATTCTGAATATTGTTGAGCTATGAGATGATGTTTTCAAATACTATGTGTTAGCATTAATACTACTTTAGTGCAACTATTCCAAATTTTTAAATTAGAACAGAGACAAATTCACAGGCTCAAAAATAAACAGTACTATTTGGTCTTAGACTTGAGCAACTTTAGTGGAACACTTGGAGTTCAAAATGACAGTAATAATGTCAAAACAAAAATGACAGTAATAATTCATCTTTGTTCAGTTTACCATATACCAGGAAGTTTCTGGCTTATAACATGTTATTACAAAAGCTCCATGAGTAATAGTCCCAATCAAGAGGAAACTAAACTATGAAGTCTGCAAAAATGTATACAACTAGTAGGTGGAAGAACTGGGATTTAAGCCCAGGCAGTCTGGCTTGTAGAGTCAATATTCTTATGTACCATTCTCAACTTTGCAGTAAAATGCTTCTGTTCTATATCTTAAACCCTAAGCATTTGAAGTTCTTCCAAAAACTTATATAAATAGGTATATACTTACATTATACAAAAGAAAGTCTAGTACTGTAACCTATTTTGTACTGCCATTAAATGGCAGAATACATAATGAAAGTATAGAATAAATTTTAACTATGTTAGATTTTAAAGAAATATACTTAATAACTATGAAAAATTTGGCTAGCTATTGAAATTATGACTAAATACTAAAACAAGGACTTAGCCATCTTTAAATGGTTTAAAAACAAGGAATTCCCCCTTCATTTATTAATCTACACACTTAAATTCCTTTATGTTATGATTTAATTATGATATTTATGTTGCCTTCTGCCTCTTGGTACAGACCATGTAAATGGACACTGCACAAGTCCCACTTCTCAGAGCTGCAGTTCTGGAAAACGACTTTCCAGTGCTGATGTTTCAAAAATAAATCGCTGGGGTCCTGGAAGACCACCATTTCGAAAAGCACAGTCAGCTGCTTGCATGGAGATTTCTTTGCCAGTTACAACAGAAGGTAGGTTAAACATACAAATTTTTGTGGATACAACTGAAATTTGACATACCACGGGAATTAGGAGCTGGGGGATAAGGGATTGTGGTCACATATAAAAGATATGAAGAGCTGGTCAACTGTAGACAACGAGCAACTGAGAACCTGGTCGGGCTGGAGCCATGAATCCCAAATCCATTCCTCGCTACACCTCTTTCATCTCTAAGACCAGAATGCTTCTGTTTATGGGTAGGTTTCCATCTCCTCCGTACAAAGTGAGACTGCGTGTTCATCTGTTCTGCATACTCCTACTTTCCTTCCATCTCAGCGGTAAGCCTCTTGGTATCTCTATCTGTAGGCAGTTATTTATTGACTTGTAACCTTTGTTTCCTCAGCTATTAAGAGAATGTGACCAAGAAAAAGGCAAGACAGTAAATTCTAGTTTGCAATCTTATGTTTTAAAAAGAGGATTGTTTGTTTGTTTATGGAATTAGCATTGGGGGGAGGAAGTAAAGTACATGAGTCAGAAGGCCTAGATTAAGAAAGATTTTTTAAAAAAAGAGGAATCCTGTAACTGCTGCAGGTGGCTCGGTGGCAAAGAATCCACCTGCCAATGCAGGAGACATAGGTTTGATTCCTGGACCAGGAAGATCCTCTGGAGGTGAATATGGCAACCCACTCCAGTATTCTTGCCAAGAAAATCCCATGGACAGAGGAGCCTGGTGGGCTAGAGTCATGCAGTCACACAGAGTCAGACAAGACTGAGCACGCATACAACTTCTGCTGCTGCCTTGCTGATAAAAGCTTTGGGACTAGAAACAGAAAAAAAAAGTATCTTAGGAATATGCTATGGTAATTCTGTGCTATAAAGTAATTCACCATTTATGTGTGTGCTCAGTCACTGAGTCATGTCTGACATCGCAACCCCATGGACTGTAGCCCTCCAGGCTCCTCTGTCCATGGAATTTTCCACATAAGAATACTGGAGTGGGTTGCCATTTCCTCCTCCAGGGGATCTTCCTGACCCTGTCTCTTGCATCTCCTGCATTGGCAAGCGGATTCTTCGCCACCACGTCACCTGGGAAGCCCAATTCACCATTTACCACTCCTCAAAAAATTTGATAGTAATGATCTGTATTATTCAAATTTTTAAAATAAAATTTTAAGGCACTTCCCCGGCAGTCGAATGGTTGAGATCCTGCACTTGGACTGCAGGGGACATGGAATCTGATTCCTGGTCATGGAACTAAGATTCCACATATAGAAGTGGCATGGTCAAAAATTTTTTTTAAAAAGGGAATTCTTAGCTTTTTAACATTCTACCATATTAAGTCTGGTCCATGGACATGCATATGATCTTCTCTTTCACGGGTATCTATGAGTAGCAACCTTGAATGTTGATGAACCATGAATGGAAAATTTTTGAAACATTAGCTAGGAATGTAACAATGTAAGGAAAATGTAAAGGTTGTAAAGGAATTAGTAGTTTCAGTCACTGGATTGAGCTGGGAATTTTGAGTTTTAGACATTTCTAACGTGTTGATTCAGGGAAAATTAACTCTACATCTCTATCTCCAAATCCGTAAAATATATAGTTTATATCTGTGTTCCCTCTCAGATCTAAATTCTATTAAAAAGTTATTTTATAAACTTGCTGAAGGATAGAGAAGGGGGAAAATTAGAAATATTTTGGTTTGTAGAAAAAAGAATAGCCTGAGGAACTTTAATATTTAACTTTATTGTATATTATTTTATTATATATTATTCTCTTTTTATAAAAATGAGTCATGATTTCCTATCAAAATGGAAAGGAGAGGGAAGGCAGTAGAAAGAATATGAGGAACTTGTACTCTGGTGTGATTATAAGAACAATACAACTTTCCTATATCATTTACCTGAGGTGGTGAGTTTCTGCTGTTGGAGTGTACACCATGTGTAAAAGTTGATGAGCAGGGGAACTTGAAGCCACCTGTTTCCTTTTCATTGGCTGAAGCCCTCTCAAAAAGATTACCACACTCTCAGTGGGGTGGCATTGTGTACAGCTCTGTATTTAGTCCTTGGCAAAGCCAAAACTGGATTTAGATTCAAGGTAGGCAGCTTGTAGCCAGTTCAGGGAGATAACATTTGTTCAATGTTATGTAAATAGTTTAAAAGTTACAATTGAAATTACTTCAAATATAGCAAAATTAAAGGAATGTATTTACCACAGAACATACCTGACCCTTCAGGTAAGTAGCCACAATGTTGTCAGTATATGGGAATTGTCAAGAGTCATTAGGAATACTTTCAGTAATTGAGAGAACGGAGAGAAGTATAACTAAAACTGTACTATAACTATTTAGACTAAACATATTTTTTCTAAATTAGAGAATTTCAACTAACTTGTGAGGTAAGGTAGAGGAAAAAAAAAAAACAAAACAGTGGACTGCAGTTCTGCAGATTCAAGGCTAGTCCCAGCTCTGCCTAAGTTTATGATTTACACTTCTGGACTTCTCTTCATCTTCAAAATAAGCTGGTGAACTGGATAAGCTGCCTTCCAGATCAGTTAACAATGAATCAAATTCTACTTCTCCCTCATCATTTTGGTTTTCATGTACTAAGTCTGACTTCACTTGTTCTGGAAACACACTAAAATTTAATTTTTGGTTTTTAAATTTCCATAGAAAGTCGAGAAAATTCCTATAATCGTTCTAGAAGCTCTAGCATCTCCAGCATTGACAAAGATTCTAAAGAAGCGATTACAGCACTATACTTCATGGAGTCCTTTGCTCGGAAAAATGACTCTACTATCTCCCCTTGTTTGTTTGTTGGAACTAGTCTGGGAATGGTGTTAATCATCTCCCTAAACCTACCTTCAGCAGATGAACAAAGATTTACAGAGCCAGTCATGGTATTGCCAAGTGGTAAGAGTTTTCATTTATTCCTTCACTGCTACTTTTTCAAATTTATATAAATGTATTGTAAAACATTTAACTTGTTTTCATCTGGAGCAAAGATTTAAGTATTCTGGATGTTAGGAACTATTGAGGAGAACTTTATAAATCATATACTATCCCAACTATTGCAGTTTACTTCCCTGCAAGGCAAAAATTGTCAACCATTTCTATGGTAGTAATCTGTGCAATTCCCAACCTAAACAATGCCTTGGTAAATACGTTTCTGAAAAGCATTTAAGAAAGTCTTAAGGCAAAAGTTTAAAATTTTTAATGAATTGAAGCATTTCTCCAATGTTCCATGCCAGATAAGAGCCAATGAGTGTTTTACATCATCCCTGAAGAACTCAGATGATTAAACTAGAAGCATTCTGACTTGAGCTGGCTTTCTAAATTCTTTGATAATCTCTTCATCTTGTTTTGAAGCCATGCCTCAAAATTTCTTCCATTTTATCCTAGTACCTAGAGAATTTGACCCCAGTTATGAGTACTGCTGCTAAAGTATATGTTGTATTCCCTTCCTACTTTTTCCCTCTTAAAGAGATGTGATTCCTTCTGTTATTCCTTTGAGTATTTTAAAATTTATTCTTATCAATGACTTTTACTCTTTTCCATATATGAAAAAACTATCCGAAAAACATTTCTAAAGTAAAAATAATTTTATTAATTATTATTTAATTTTATTAATATATAGAATGAGGGATTTTTTTTTAAAGAACACATATGGTATGATAGGTTAGATAGACTTGTGTTTTCTTTGTTAACTGGTATGCTAAATTCATACAGATGGATTGTTACTGTGGGAAGAATATTCAGCTCTCTATAGTGAGACAAATTCAGATAAATATATTGTGTGTGTGTGGCCTAAACAACACGGGTTTACCTTCTCACACTTCTGGAGGCTGGAGGACCAAGATTAAAGTGCTGGCAGGCCTGGTTCCTCCTGCAGCCTCTCTCCTTGGCTTGCAGTTGGCCACGCTCTCACCATATTCTCACCTGTCTCTCTGTGTGCTTGTACCTCTGGTGTGTCCCCGTATATCCTAATGTCTTAGGAAGACATTTGGATGAGGGCCACCCTATCAGCCTCATTTTAGCTTAATCACCTCTTTAAAGGCTTTGTCTCAAATATGATCACATTCTGAGGAACTGGGGTGTAGGCCTTTAATGCATGAATTTGATAAGGGGAGGAGGGGAAAAGATCCCACCCATAAAATGCACTGTATTTTAAAAGTTACTCATTAGCACCATTATAGTTTAATTGTAAACATATTTCACAGTAAGAAAAAATTCTTTTACTGTATTCCTAATTTTAAGGAAATATGAATAATTCTCTTATAATGGTTGAGAGAGAGCCAGATCAGTAAGGTCATAATGACTTTTTAAGTTTTAGTTCTATCCATTTTTTAACTCAATAAATTTTTATACAGATTGGATATCTAATACATGGCATGTATTCCTCAAATATTTAAAGGTAAAAATCAAATCCCGGTATACACAACCATACAACTGTGAGTGACAGACAGTTTTCTAGTAAGAGATATTCTAAAAATTATGGTTTTCTATGCCACAAGCATAGAAATAAACAAGTCTGTGGAACTAGTTTAATGATCAGTACCACAGGAAAGTTCTTCAACATTCTTAGCAAATAGACTTGAAATGATGGCAAAAGACAAAGTGAGTATAGATTTAACTTAATAGTTGGGCATCTGGTTCATAAATATTTGCAAACCTCCTTAAAGAGAGATAATGGGAAGCTATCTTCTCCAAGTTTCTATGTCAGCCTCTTTCAAGACTTTGGTTATTATATCAGCATCATTTTATCGTTGTAACAAATGTACCACACAAACACAAGGTGCTAATAACAGAGGAAAGGACAAAGAGGGCATATGGGAACTCTCTCTACCATATGCTCGATTTTCTATAAAACCCAAGACTGCTCTAAAAAAAAATGAAGTCTATGAACTTAAAAAAGCAGAAAACTGAGTCCAGGTTCAGATTTGTTTTATAGTTAACTACTGAAAGAGAAAAAGCCCAATTGGAAGGCATAATTTATGACAATAAAAAGAATGGAGGTTAAAATAATAAAAAAGGATGGAGTTCCACAGAGAAGACAGAAAGCCAATTCAGATTTAAAGTAGAAAACTCATCCTTTCCTCTGTCACATCCCACTTCCTGACTCTGTCTTCACCTTCTTCCCAGTATCTACTCTACATCACATCCCTGTTCTACTTGTCTCTGTCCTATTGTAGTGCTCTAGATTATGGGAACCATTTTAAAAGGTGTGGAATCAGAGGCATTTCCCTCTTTCATAACCAGAGCTAAAGTGGGTGATATGCTTTCAGGCCCTGAATGGGTTTTCCTGTCACAACATTGTTAAATTACCTTTTATCAGAGGGCCTAGAAAAATTTATCTGAGTTTAGCAATTTCCTGAAAATACAATCCATTTTGAAATTTATTCATCCATTTTTTCAACATATGTTTCCCAAGCTCATACTAATTAGGCACTGGGCATACAATGGTGATCAGGACACAGAATGATTTTTATTCTCGGATTATTTGCAAGGAAGAACAAAAGTAACCGGAAAATTACAATAAGGGAAGTAAACAATACTGTGACAGGATGGGAGGGGGGATTTGGGGAAAACCTCTCTCACAAAGCATCTGTCTGAAGTGGCAACAGGTTTAGAAGGGAGCTCTGCACAGTACTGATATTTAAGAGAAATTCAGGAAAGCATAAAAAACCTAGAGGTAGCACAGTTGAGTCAGTTCTAATGAGATTGAAGAACTAGAGCCTATTATACAGAGTGAAGTAAATCAGAAAGAGAAAAACAAGTATCATATTAACGCATATGTATGGAATCTAGAAAGATGATACTGATGAACCTATTTGCAGGGCAGCAATGGAGACACAGAGAACAGACTTGTGGACACAGTGGGGAAGGAGAGAATGGGACAAATTGAAAGAGTAGCATGGAAATGTATACAGTACTGTATATAAAGTAGGTAGCCAGTGGGAATGTGCCGTATGACTCAGGGAGCTCAAACCACTGCTCTGTGACAACCTAGAGAGGTGAGATGGGGTGGGACATGGGAGGGAGGCGAGATATGTATACCTATGGCTAATCCATGGTGATGTATGGCAGAAACCAACACAATATTGTAAAGCAATTATCCTCTAGTTAAAAATAAACAGATTTTTAAAAGGAGACCAAAAAAAGAAAAACAACAATCTAGGGGGTTAAAAGAGCATGAAATAGCTAAAACTTAGAGCTATAATGGTGCTGAGGCTGGAAAAACAGGCAGAGGAATAGAGGACCTTAAGACCACAATAAGGAGCTGGAAGAGACTTCCTAGATCTCTGGGGTTTTTTTTTTTGTTGTTGTGTACAAAGATTGTGATATGGTATGCTTTTTTTCTCTAAAACACTGGTGGTTAAATTTTGTAATTGTAAAAAAAAAAAATTGTAATTGTAAGAACTCCAAATACAGAGGAAGGTAAATGAAAATTCTGCCACAAGCAAACTCTCCCCCTTGTCTGTCCCATCTCCACCTACCATAATTCTGCCCTTAAGAATTTTACTCTCCAACAGTAATTCTGTGAGAAATTTGCTGAGATTCTAACTTTAAAGTTCCTTTATTGAAGTATAATTGACATACAAAAAATACATATTTATTGTATGTAGCTTGATGAGTCTGGAGATAAGTAAACATCTATGAAACTATCCACAACCTATGCCATAAACATATTCATCACTTTCAACAGCTTCCTCCCCCTGTAATTTTGAGACTCATTTTAAACTTTATCTCATTTCTATGTAATGCTTTGTGCTACCTGCGAACAAATTATTCTGTAATTATCAATTCTGCCACATGAAGTGCCTATCACTGATTTGTAAAAAAAAATTATTTTCATGCTTCAATATCAAACTCAAACTCATGATTAAACTGAAGATTATCCATAATAAATTCATTCTCTTTACCCCTGAACTGTTTCTTCTTTCTATTTTTCCTGTTTCTGTTAATAGTTCCACAATACTACCTAAATGACTTCCATCACTTCCATTTCTTTTATGATTCCTTTTACTTACTGCCCCTGTACAGGTCTTAATTCCAGTATTGTCTTCATCTCCTGATTTTTATGCACCATATTCTCATACCTTCACTTACCCATAGAAGCAGTTTCTTGGAAATCAATGATCTCTATAAGCTCAGCCTTGTTCTACCTCTTTAATCTGATTTCCTGCTACTTTCCAGCACCAGTTCCCTGGTCCAGCCAGTCTTATTTCTTCTCTTCCTATTTCTCTTTGCCACCTGTCAATCATCTATCATTGTTAGATGTTACATGAGCTTTTATATTTGTTGTCAAAATTTGGAAAACTTGTATCAAGTTTCTTGGGAGCTATAGGATTTGAAAGAATTCAAATTTGCTACAGACTAGCTTTTAGCTCCATCCATTTTAAATTTCAAATCTTGCTTGTTCTACATTATTTATTTCTGTTGTTGACATAATATATAATTTGTAATATGCTCTTCAGCCCTGCACTTTCATATCAGATTAATGTGGAGTTGTATCACGGTAATAGGAGTTTTCCTGGGAGCCACCACTATACCTAGGACAGCAGCAACCTAGACAGGGTAGTGACAGTGAATCATCTGTTAATAAATAAACCTACTAAACTCAAACTAAATGCATCTCCATCTTTTTTTCCTCTTTTTGTATACTGAGGATATGACTCTAACTTACTAATTCAGTTTTTGATTATGTATTATATAAGCTTAGATATGTTTTCATATGTATATTCTTAACACTGTAAAAGTATACCAGAGATTATCTTCTTACCTTTTTAAACTTATTTTTCTTACCATATTCTTATTTTGTCCTTTTACCTGCTGACACAATATCTCATAGACTTACCCTCTACTCTAGACTTCATAGCTTACTCCCTATGTCAGACTTACTTGCCAGCATT